AGCGTCAACCTCTCGAAGCGTGCACTTGGCCCAGATGGTGAGCTCGTCGGGGATGGCTGCTGCGACCTCCTTCGACAGGCTCGACACTTCTTCGCTGGACAGAAAATTGCGTCGCATTTGATGACCGCGGTCTCGACGGCAACGTGGATCTTAAGCGCAGCTGTATGAAGAACGCAGGCGACGCAGGCGTCGGACGCAGCCTCGCTAAGCTTGGGAAAGCTTCAGGCACCCCTGGATCGAAATACAACTCCACGCGTCTACATCCTTCGTCCTCGTCGACTTGTGTGGCGTAGTCGTCCCAGGAGGCCCCACGCAAGTAATGATGACATTGCGCGTGGACGATCAGTAGCTAGCGCTGCGTCTCGAAGTGTTGGGGCCCCTCTTGTGGCCTGCGGCCTAATTCGGCCGAGGCGTGCTCGACGGCAGCGAAACTCAACTCTCATGCTGGTTGTCGGCGCTCTCCACTTCTCCAGCTCCTGGGTGCTGCCTGGACACAACCCGAGCATGTCAGGCATGGGTCGCAGAGCGGTCCTTGTAGATCTTGGTGATGTTGTCCTTGGTGATGTACTGGTTGTGCACGTTCTCGGTCATTGGTCCTGCCAGAGCGAAAGGGAGGAAGTGCAAGAAGGCGATGATGATGAAGGCGGCTGACCAGGGTCGAAAGCGGCAGAGTTGGAAACCATTGCCGTCGACGCGGAAACATGGCGGCCGTGGTGGGAGCAGGGGCGAACCTGCTCCGCGACCAATGGGAAGTGAAGCTCTAATTGGGAAGATGTGAAAGATCTGGTCTATGTGAAAGATCCGGTTTTTCTGAAGGCGGAATGGTAAATGGCAAGGGGCAGTATACCTGAAGGCGCGTCTAAGGCGGGCACGGGAGCACTGCAGGCTCCCGTGCCCCTGAGCCAACAAAGGCGGCGGACAGGCTGGGTAAGATACAGGCACGGCGATAGGAAGGGGGGCTGACCTACCGCTCGGATCGGAGAAGGAGGAGGAGTAGGAGGAGAAGGAGGAGAAGAAGGAGGAGAGAGGAGGAGGAAATGGAGGAGGAGATGGAGGAGGAGGAGGAGGAGGAGGAGGAGGAGGAGGAGAGAGGAGGAGGAAATGGAGGAGGGGGAGGAGGAGAAGGAGGAGGAGGAGGAGGAGGAGGAGGAGAAAGAGGAGAAGGCGATAGGACAACACAATGACACTTGCGATCCATAGCTTGCCCCTGGACTCAAAGGGCAACAGGGCAACATGAAATACTGTGATGCATCTATGATGCTCATGCACCTGTAAGAGCGCATGCCTTGAAGCCTCGCTGGGGGACGCCGCTGGCTCACGGCGGGACCACAGAAAAGGGTACGTAGGAGGGAGAAGGGCACGGAAGAGAAGGGATGAGGAATGAGGCGGAGGAAGAGGGAGGAGGAAAATCGCCACCCAAATCTCCAACGACATATCTATATCGGCCCGGGGACCATGAAAAACTTGCACAGGGCGGCAAATTGACCCCGGAGAAGGGGTGGATGACCTCTGGGGCCGCGCACTGAAAACATCACACCGGCGAGCGTCGGGAAACAAGGTAACACTCGAGACAAAAGCTGCCAGAGGCCCGCGTGGATTTTGGGTCCGACGCTGGGTTCCCTGGAGGCGCCTCCAGCGCCGCCAATGGCCCGCTCCGTGCGCCAGGGGAGGAGGAGGGTCCAGAGCCGATGGAACAATCCGCGCAGACCTCCGAAGGTTAATGTTTATGTTTTTCCCTTTCGAGGCGCCACTTGCGAGGGGCTGGGGAGCCTCCGGTAGGATCCCCAGCCTGCAGCTCGGGGAGGGGGCACCGGGGACCCTCTCGCTGGAGGTGGCCCGCTTCGACGGTGGCGGTGGTGCTATGCTGCATGTTCGGGGACCTTGTCTATCCCACCGCGTCTCTATTCGTGCCGAATCCGCGTCGAACCCACGTCGAAACCAGGAATACACACCGAATCCTCGTCGAATCCACGTCGCATCTGGGCCGAACATCTGCGCCGAGCCTCCGTCGAACACCAATCAAAGAGCGCCGCTCGCAAGGCAGGCGAGGACCCCGGAAGCTGCAACGCACCAGCGGCGACCCCGCCGCCTGCAATCAACGTTGAACGCCGCCGGCGACACAGATACGTGGCGGCATCCGCCACACGTCCGATGAACTCCGAACCCCCAACCCCGCCGGCCATCGAGTTACCTGAACCGTTGACTGGCGAGGGTAGGGTTCGGATTTCGCCGCCGACCAGAATCGGACGATGTTGAACGATCTTAGGAGAACCACAATTGTCAGAAACATAGGAAACTAGGAAGTCCGCGCGAATTTCTTGGATCCGCGCCGGACCCCCCTCCCTGGCCCGCGGAGCGCGCCGAGGGCGGCGCCGGAGGCGTCGCCAGGGGGCCCCATCGCCGATCCGAGAAATCCGCACGGACCTCCGAGGTCTTATGTTTCTGTCGTTCTTAGCGGGCGAAGAAGGGTACCAAATAAACTGGTTCGCTGTCGGGGGCGCCTGTCCCAGGGCGGCCGGAAAGTTTATACTGCAGGTCCGTGCCGTGTCGACCCTGGCATTGGTTCCTGACACCGCGCTGGATCGTTCAACCTTGAACGATCGGCCGTCTCCGCAACGTCCGATCGTTCAACATCGACCGATTCTGGGCCGCCGTCGGCGGCGGGGTCGCCGCCGGTCGACACGACGCGAACCTACCGTACCCTAAGATCTGACGTTTCGGGAACGACCCATCGTTCACGGTCGAACGGGGTCGCCGCGGCATGAACCAGCGACGGGGTCGTCACGACACGAACCTGCAGGGGGTGGCCTCGCCTCTCCTCCTCTCCGAGCGGGGGGGCAGGCAGGGACGCGCAGTGTGTGCGCGCTCGTAGCGGGGAGGGGAAGGGAGAGAGGCAGGAGCAGGGGAGGGGGGGGGGGTGCAAAACGAGAGGGAACGGGAGGTGTGCGATGCTGCCCCTCCAGAAGGTCGACCGGGGGCCTCCAAGAGCGCCATGGGCAAGTCTGGCACGCCTGGAGACGCCAGGGGGGCGAGCAAGCCGAGAGGGACGACACCCAGGCCGCCTTGGGACCGAACACCCGGATGGGTAGAGGGGGCATGCGGAAGGAGAAGGCCTGAGCGGCGACAGCCCGAGAGAAACACCGGCGCGACACCCAGCTGGACTTTGTTTCGCCGTTTTTGTCTGCCCCTGAGGGGCCTCAATGGGCCCGGGGGCCGCCAAGAAAACAGCTCGGGATGAAAGGCGGATTCCGAGAAAGGGGCCGAGACTGCTGGGGACGACGTGTTCATTGAAAGTTCTGGGAAAAAACGTTGAAGACTCTGGCGAGGGGGCGGGGGCGGGGGGGGAGGAGGAGGAAGAGGAGGAAGAGGAGGAGAAGGAGGAGAAGGAAGAGAGAAGAAGAAGGAGAAGAAAAAGGAGAAGGAGGGGGAGGAGGAGGAGGAGGAGGAAGAGGAGGAGAAGGAGGAGGAGGAGGAGGAGGAGAAAGAGGCGGAGGATGAGGGGGAGGAGGATGAGGAGAAGGAGGAGGAGGAGGAGGAGAAGGAGGAGGAGGAGGGACTTTCGGCGACTTTGGAAGACATCGGATCTCTGTGGAGGTCGGCGGAGAGAGCACGAGCGCTGGCTCTCGGGCAGCAGGGTCCCAGGCTGGCGGCCGCCCAGCCCTTCGATAGCGGAGCCCCCAGAGGCTTCGCGGGCGTGAAGCGTGTCCATGTCCACGATCTCACGGTCTAGACTGCCCCTCCGTCGACCTAGACCGCCCAAGCCACTTCATAACAGAGGGCTCTGATGGGCCCAGCTTCCACCACCACTACCACATGTGGGAGAGGGGGGGGGGAGGAGGAGGAGAAGGAGGAGGAGGAGGAGGAGGAGGAGGAGGAGGAGGAGGAGGAGGAGGAGGGAGGAGGAGGGAGGAGGAGGAGGAGGAGGCGGACCTCCTCATCCTCCCTTCTCCCACGACCTACGTATGGTAGTGGTGGTGGAAAACCTGCCCGTCAGGCTATGGCCCGGCAAGGGCCCCCGGCTGGGGGCCCTTGCCGGGCCCAGGGGGCCGTAACAAGAACGGCTCGGTGCTTGTAGGGGGAGTGCGGGGGGTGCTCTTTGGGCATGCTGAGAACTCTTTGACCCTCTGGGGGTCATCTTGGCTGACTACCTACCAGACCACCCCAACCCAACCCGAAGACCCGAATTTGACCCGAATTTCGGGTTTGGGGGGGTACGGGCACCATGTGTTTTCTCAACGTTCCCCGACCCCCCCCCACTGGAAATGGAGGGCAAATTGAGGCCTTCGGGTTGGGTTGGGGTGGTTTGGTAGGTGGTGATTGGCAGCCTTAGAGATGTAGCTTATGACGATCACGTCTTGAGCGCCCCCCTGGGACCCACGAGGCGCCCACGGGTGGCAGCGTGGCGGCACCTCGGCGGGCCCATCCAGCGCACGGGGCGAACACGAGGCGCCCACGGGCGGCGACGTGGCGACATTCAACTACTCTTGAGAGTGCCTTCCGCGCTCGAGCCGAAAGCCGGCGTGGACTTCAAACACACACACACACACACATCCCAGTGCAGCTTAGGTCAAGGCAGGCATAGCGCTGCCTCCATGCATTGCGCGAGTGGCACATGAGAGGTTGCTTGCGGACGCGCCCCCGCACCTTGTAGAGGGCTGGTGCCCAGCAGCCATCAGAGAGGCCAGGGGCACGACCGCCACGCTCTGGCGCGTGCTACCCCTCGGCCCGATGTTGCACTAGGACAGGGAAGATACACCCTGCGAAATGCTTAAGAAATCATAGGTTGAGAAATTCATAGTCCCAGATTTTGGATAAAAACCCAAGATTTCCTTCAAAATCTTAGGTTTCACATTGAAACATTAAGAATTATCGAGACTCTGGCCGAAAACTTAGGTTTTCTTAAGCATCGCCTAAGGTGTAAGGAGGGCCGGAAACGCACTACGCCCGAGGGCATGCATCATATGTGCGCGTGCGCCGAGACACCATGGGCCATCGCAAGCCTGGTGGTCCTCATCGCCACTGGACACCCTTCTGAACAGTGTCCGCTGGGACATCACCTGCGCGTGGTGGCATGGACAGGGAGGGGAGGGAGGAGGAGAGAAGCTGTAGCAGGGAGCAAAGGGCGGGAGGCGGAGGTGAACAAAGAAGACGAGCAACAGGAGGAATGGGTAAGAGTTAACGATGATGCAGAGGGATGCTGCTGCAGGAGAATGCGTTCCGTGGACGCTTGCTTGGACAAAATCCCTGACACGTCGGAACCGCCAACCCTCCCACCTAAGCATTTGAAGCGCCCGGGGAAACGGGGAGGGCCTCCCCTCATTGGACACTGGCCGCTCTAACCGCTCCCCCACTCGTCCAGGGGGGGGGGGCCGCGGGGTCAGAACGGGAGAGGACACCCCCCTCTTCCCCCGCATCGAATCCTATTAGTGCTCGATCAAGCTTTCACTGCTGGATCCAACGTTAATAGCGTCCTGGGCCAGCCAACTCTAGCAACATCCTACTACAGCTGGATCCAACTCTGTTTGAATCCGACGTCGACTCGAGCCAACTGCAAGAACAGCTTACTCTCGCTAGTTCAAGCTCTGATTGAACCCCACTGGGGCTCGATGCAGCTCGATCCAGCGCGTCGTCGTCGTCGTCGTCGTCGTCGTCGTCCCGTCGTCGTTCGTCGTCGTCGTCGTCGTCGTCGTTCGTCGCGTCGTCGTTCGTCGTCGTCGTCGTCGTCGTCGCCGCTGCCCCACGGCGCCTGCGCCGGCGCCAGCGCTCGCCGGTCGTCGGTTGCCACTGGGGAGGGAGGGGGCGGGGTCCCGCCCCCAGGTTCGAACTCCCCTCCCCCCCCCTTGCCATTTATGACTACCTACCAGACCACCCCAACCCAACCCGAAGACCCGAATTTCGGGTGGGGGGGGGGGTATGGGCTCCATATGTGTTTTTTCGATGTTCCCGGACCCCCCCCCACTAGAAATCGAGGGTAAATCTGAGCCTTCGGGTTGGGTTGGGGTGGTTTGGTGGGTGGTGAATTTAGGGACCCCCCCGCCCCGGCTCGAACCCTCCCCCCCCAGCCGTGGGGACTGGTCCCCCCCCTGATTCGAACGACCATCCCCCTTTGCAATTTGAGGGGAGGGGGGGGGGCACCCCCTCGATTCGACGCCCCCCCCCAGCGTCAACAGAACGCGTTGTCTTCCTGGTGCAGGTTGCATGCGACGACGGCGAGGAGGAAATCCCGCGGGTGTGAACGCATCCGCACGCACTCAGGAACAACAACGCCGATTCCGACCCGAGGGCACCGCAATCCAAACAGCCAATTGGGCGTAGGTGGATTAGTGTTTGGACGCCCGAAATGGGTACGGAAAAAATGGGTACAATGCCCAACAACAAATGTTGCCCCAAACCAACAGCGGCCGCTGTTGGGCAGGCGGCCTTCTGTCTCGGATGGACACAGGCCGCGGCGGCGCGGACAACCAGTCCTGTTCAAAATGAACAGGAACTGCAGTTGGGCATTGCACCCATTCTTTCGGTACCCATTTCGTTCGTGCTGATAGTGGTCTGGCTCTTCAAATCCAATCCCTGCTTTGACTTCGAAAAAGGGAGCCCCTCCTCTCCCCCATACCGCCTCCCCGGGGGCCGCGCGCGGCCAGAGCGTCGATGGCGGCCCTGTCAAGCAGCCCAAGATGGACCCAACGGTCGCGACTGCCTCAAAGATAGCGCATGCGACACCGCGGCAAATGCTCTCAAGCCGGCTGCTATTATGGCAAGTGAAGTCTTGGCACCGTGCAGGCTCGCTCATTCCGTGGGCGGCAGAGCGGGAAAGACAGCGGCACCCACGCTGACGGACCAGATGGGAACGCCAAGGGAAAGAGGGAGTTGAACAGGAGAGAAAGGTGAAGGCTGGGAGAAGGAGTGGTTTGAAGAAGAACCTGTGTATATTTGCACGCCTCGGGCTGCTTCATCATCCTCCACCCTAGGTGTGTCAAGGATTTGCCCAATGCGACCTGGCCATCCTGGATGTTAACGCTTCCGGCCCCTCCTTCCCTCCAGTGCATGCGCCACTCTTTCCTCGTGCGCCTGCGCCAACCCATCCGCTCCCTCCGTTCCCGTCAACCCCTTCCTTCCATCCTCCGCTAATGTCACTAAGCAAACGCGTTCCACTGCCCGCGAAACAACTACTTGCAAATGGCCTGGATCCACCGCGAGGGATTTACGACCCATGACATAAAGGGATATACGATTGTTTCAGACTGATGCAAGTAGGCACTTTGCGAGTAGCGGAGCGCGCTCAGTGAGTCACTGTCTCCTCCTCTGCTTCCGCTTCATCCAAGCCCCCTTTTTGGATGTGCATCCCGCCTAGGACTATCCGACAGAACAACAAAAGACCGCCTCATGCGGAGAAACGTCGCGCCCGACGGTGCTGGACGCAGTGGGCATCATCACTGAACCGGTACCGCGACTCAACGATAAAAACACAATTCGGCCAGGGACGACTTAAGCAAAGTTTTTTTCATCTGGGTCGCTGACTGCGGACAAGCGGACTCGACGTCCACGACGACGGCAAACCGCGAACATCACGCCCCAGGCTCTTCGTCACCGCTTGGTCCGATGACGGTCCCAGGCTTAAGAGGCGACTGGATCGCTCTGCGTGTGAGGACACCAGCGTGCGAGAATCCCTCCCTCGCCTTCGCGAGAAGGAGGAGGCCTTCCGGAGAAGCAAGAAGGGGATGATGATGAGGAGAAGGAGAGGAGGAGGAGGAGGAGGAGGAGGAGGAGGAGGAGGAGGAGGAGGAGGAGGAGGAGGAGGAGGAAGAGGAGGAAGAGGAGGACGAGGAGGAGGAGAGGGAGGAAGAGAAGGAGGAGGAGGAGGAGGAGGATCAGAGCAGAGCAGAGCAGAGCGCCGGAAAACGTCCAGGAAGGACGGCCCTTGAGAGCCCGGCGGGGGCGCCGGAGCGCCAGAAGGCTCATTCGTTGTAGTTGCGGGGGTGGAGGAAGCGACGCATGTAGTCCAAGAAGCCTTCTTCACGAGTCTTCCACCATGGTAGGTTCTGGGCCAACACCCACCATTTGGAATCGTTGTCGGTGTCGACCACGTCATGTAGATAAGATACAATGTCATCATGCCAAAGCTTCTTTTGCCCGCCATGTCGGCGAAAAGCTGGGCGTAGGTCGTGTGTACATGGGTCCCAACTTGCACTCAGTCGCGTCCATCTGTCGTGATCGTGGTTGGCCACACGTGCTGCGAACGCCCATTTACGCTTGAAGTATACGTCGGTCCAATCGTCGACTCGTGCTCGTTTGGCGTGTGCCAAAGCGGCGGAGGTACTTCTCCGTATGAAGTGAACCCAAGACTCAGATCCATCGTCGTTGTCTCCGTCGGTTGCTGTTGTCGGTGCTGGTGTCGGTGTCGGTGTTGGTGCTGGTGCTGTCAGTGCTGGTGCTGTTGTCGGTGCAGGTGCTATTGTCGGTGTTGGCGCTGTTTTCGATTGGTGCTGGTGCTGGTGCTGTGTTCGGTGTTGGTGCTGGTGCTGTGGTCGGTGCTGGTGCTGGTGCTGGTGTCGTCGTCGTCGTCGCCGTTCGGTGCTGTTGTCGGTCCTGGCGTCGGTGCTGGATTCGGTGCCGTTGACGTCGGCACGTGTGCCGTTGTTGGTGTTGCAGCTGGCGCGTGCTGTCTGTCTGCTTGCTTCCAGCGTGTTCCGTCTTCTCGGCGTATTGATGATCAGTCGGAGCATTTTCCGTTGTGTTCGTTGTAGCGTGATGAGCATATCCTTGGTGAGTGTCCACGAAGAGCAACCGTACATAACTCATGGTGCGATCGTGCCGCTGAAGAGTCGGAGTCTGCTGTGCAATGGGAGTTTTCTGTTGGTAAGTTCACACCGTAGTGTGTGAAACTTCGACCATCCCGCGGCGATCCTGTTTTTCAGCTCATGTCCGTGGAAGTCGTGGAACGATAACTTTTTGCCCAAATACTTCGGACTCTGGTCGTTGGGTAGAATGTCTATGCGTGCGCCATCTAAGACGATGTGCGTGATTGGTCTGCCAGCCCTCCGGCTGAGGTTGGTGATAATCTTGGTCTTGTCGGGGTGAAGTGAGAGTCCACAGCAGGATGCTTTGTTCTTCAAGTCGCGCAATGAGCATGTAAGTTGGCGAAGGTTCGGGGCGTACAGCAAAACGTCGTCTGCGAAACGTAGGTTCGTGATGCTTGCTTCTTGAGCAAAACCGAGCTTGATGCCAAACTTTGTGCGTTGCCAACCAGGCTTGATTTGTCGGAAGATATGCTCCAGCAGCGCATTGAACAGGAAGGAACTGAGCGGATCTCCCCGCTTCACACCCCGCTGTATGCTAAAACTGCGACTGGAGGCGTCAGTGCGGACAGTGGCCGTCTGATCATTGTACATGTGCTAAATGAAGGTGATGTACGCTTCGGGAATGTGTTGCTGTCGTAGAGCGTCCCATAGGTGCTTGTGGTCCACGCAGTCGAACGCCTTCTTGAAGTCGATTGCTGCCGCCCAGAGCGATAACTGCCAACAGTGTGATTGCTCGTGCAACATTGCCGTCGTGACGAAGTGGTCATCCGTGCTGAAGCCTCGCCGGAAGCCAGCCTGGTCAGGGCTCTGTTGTGCGTCAAATGTGGCTTCTAGTCGATTGCAGAGGAGGCGGGACATGAGTTTGTACATCCGTGGGATGATGGCGATCGGTCTGTAGTTTTGCGGTAGCTTGGGGTCCCCAGATTTGCATATCACCGTTATCGTCGTTCTCTCCCATTGTGTGGGTGATGGGTGGTTTGGCTTGATAATGTCGTTGTAAAGCTGAAGTATGTGCGATTCAATGGCGGTTCCCCCCGCTTTGAGAAGTTCGGCTGTGAGTCCTGCAGTGTCGCTGCACTTGCCGTTTTTCAGTTGCTTGATTGCATGTCGAAGCTCCTTTGGTGTGAGTGGTGGTATGCTCGAGTATGTTGCCGTGTCGGTGTTGCTAGAAATGTCGCTGTCGTCCTGCGGTGCTTTATAGAGTTGCTCGTAAAAGGTGGCGAAGACGTCTGCGATGCTCTGTCTGCCAGTTGTTTCGTCGC